TTAAGTTTTTTTTTTTCAGTGATTTAGGTTATGAATTCAAATTCTAACTGTTCTATAACACTAGATTCTCTCTTATTTTCTTTCTCTTATGGTTCGTTATATTTAAGTTATATAGATTAACTTGGAGATTAGCTTTGAGGGCTGTATTCATTGTAATTATTTTTGTTTCTCATTTTTCCACAGATACAGAAAAATCACACTTTACTCGAGATCCATCCCAGCTTAAAGGTATCCTTGTTCGAGCATCACTGAAAAAAAGCACAATGGGATTTGGTTTTACCATTATTGGTGGAGATAGGCCTGATGAGTTCCTACAAGTGAAAAATGTGCTGAAAGATGGTCCTGCAGCTCAGGATGGGAAAATTGCACCAGGTAACAGATTTTTCAGAATTACTTGAATTGTGATACTATAACAAAAATTATAGTGCAAATGTATATATATTATACATATGTAATATATATATAACAAATATATTAATAGCTATGTACATATATATCATGTATAATTTACATATATGTAAATAAGAGAGAGAACTAAATTATGCAAGTGAAGAGGGAGATTTCTGTATTAAAATAGTTTATCTTCTAAACTAAGTGCATGCTAGTTTTGAGGGAGGGTCATTTTTGCAGATAAGAGGAAACTTAGTGAAAACATTTTTATTAATTTTTTAGTCTGTATAATTTTGAAATAACTCTTTGGCTATACTAAGCTGAAGACTTATTAACCATCTCAGAAAACTATTTGATTATTTGATTTTCTTTGATTATATAGGGTAATTTTGGAGTTGGTTAATATTTACCTATAATCTTTTTTGAAAAATGAGCCATTGTGGTGTTTATAGTGATTCTGAGTAAATTGTTATATCCCAAGTTTTTTCCCCAAGTTGATTTTTTTTTTTTGCTTCTGTGAGGCTGTTAATAAAAATTAAACTGCTATGTTAAGAATTATAGACAATAATATTGCCATTTTACAGAGCTGTACAAATTTGTCTTTTACATAGTTTTCCCAAAGTCTTTACTTGATAATTGGTAGATATTTTTATGTGGCTGGCAGCTTTTATGGCTGAGGGGGTTAGAGGAAGTTTAAGACTAGTTACTGATTATGGGGAAGGTTTAAATACTTTTTTCCAGAAAGATTTTAATATTCCACTGAGGTTGCTTCTTACAGTTCGCTAGACTTTTCTAATCTGTTATTTCACATACCATGTGTAAATACCATTTGGACAGTTCAATTGTCATCTTACTTTTAAAGGCACATATGAACTTATTTTCAATCAGGATATGAGATTTCTCATATTATGCTTCCCCATTTAGGTGATAGAAACTTAAAACAAGGAAGCTTAAAATAATCAAAATTTATAAAGAAAAATTTTTAGCTCTCCTTTATTTTATAAAATTAACAATTGCTGGAGATTAAAATTAATCATAAGGTTTTTTTCTAAGTCTTCAATTTTGACTTTTTTGTGTTTTGTCTATGAAACATATCTCGTAGTTATTGTATATGCTGTCAGGATTTTATGGTGTAATTTCAGATTTGCCTAAAACTGTTATTAACTTACATAGCAATGCAATACTTCCATAAAAATTCTGGGAACTTTGACCAGGGAGGAAAAATCAAAACTTTGTTTCTAATTAGTCTAATTTCAGTATCTTCTTGGATTTTGAAACAAATTTTAATGAACTAACATTTGTTTTTAACTACCATTCACGTTGATTTTTCAAAGCCTACATGCAATCAGAACAATTTTAAGCACCTTTATTTGGCAATAACCTTTTAGATAATCATATTCTAATAAAAGCAGCAAATAGATGAGACATCAGAGGACAAATTTTAAAAGTTAAAGCTGAATTAAAAACCACACAACTGATGAATGTCAAGTGGTAATGATGCTGCAACCAAAGTGGTCATAATAATGTAAAATGTGGAAAGCAAAACCAGCTTTTACAAGGATTAATTCAGCTGAATGTTTCAGCATCTTAAATAATATGTTCTTTGCTTGTGTTGAGTTTTTTTGTTGCTTATTTCCCCTTTTGAAAACTGAATTACACTAAATTGAAAATCTCCGCACAAAAGAATGCTAAAAGAAAATACACTCATAAGTAATTATTCTAACTTCAGCCCTACATTGTTCAAACTCGAATGAATTTTTCAGGACATTGTAACCAATGGTTACTTAAAATCAAGAAATAAGGTGCTATTTAATGGTTGTCTGTTTGTACAAGTAGCCAGTGGAGTTATTTGCTCCTCTTCTGTGTACTGAATACCGACTATAAGGTGCCCAGCTCTGTGTGGCCACTGAGATATGTCTCATAGAATATACTAACAGTGATAATATAAATTTGCAGCTACTTTTTAAAAGATTCACTTGTGCTTGAGGTTACAGCTCTTTACCACTAAGATAGTTAAGATTTTACACATTCATATATTCTTTTTAGAGAGGAGTCACAGAAGGGAGAATGACATGTCTGTGTTCAAAATCTAGCTTTTCAGTAGTTAATGTACTGTAAGAGGCTTCTAGAATTCAAATTGAGATGCTAAATAAATTTCAGTCATTTTTCTTCTCCCCCCACATAAAATTGTCTTATTTGGTGGTCTGAATATTTTTAACATGATTGTGTTTTACCAGGTGATGTAATTGTAGACATCAATGGCAGCTGTGTCCTTGGTCACACCCATGCAGATGTTGTCCAGATGTTTCAGCTGGTACCTGTCAATCAGTATGTAAACCTCACTTTATGTCGTGGTTATCCACTTCCTGATGACAATGAAGATCCTGTTATGGACATTGTTGCTGCTACCCCTGTCATCAATGGACAGTCATTAACTAAGGGAGAGACTGGCATGAATACTCAGGATTTTAAGTCAGGAGCAGTGGTTCTGGACCAGAATGGAAAATCAGGACACACCTTGATCAGTGATCGTCTCAATGGACCATCAGATCTGAGCGAGCAGAGAGCATCTATGGCATCTTCAGGCAGCTCCCAGCCTGAACTAGTGACTATCCCTCTGATTAAGGGCCCCAAAGGCTTTGGGTTTGCAATTGCAGACAGCCCAACTGGACAGAAGGTGAAAATGATATTGGATAGTCAGTGGTGTCAAGGCCTACAGAAAGGGGATATAATTAAGGAAATTTACCACCAAAATGTGCAGAATTTAACACATCTCCAAGTGGTAGAGGTGCTAAAGCAGTTTCCAGTAGGTACAGATGTACCATTGCTTATCTTAAGAGGAGGTGAGTAAAAGCACAGTAAGGAAAAATCTTCATTGTTCATGCATTTTTATCTGTTAATCACTCTTCCTTACAGGTCAGAATCTCTCTTTTCTCAGCAGACTTAACTGGTAATCAGTGTGCATTTTCCTTAAGTTCTCTCTGCTTCCATGACCAGTATCTTTTGCAGCAGCTTTTTTAGTTATTAGTGGTTTCATTTGTGTCCATTATGGATTTCTTCCCCTCTATATTCTTTTAAAAATCTAATTTATGACTTTAATGATTAGAGAGAGTCACAACATGTGCTACTTCAAATGAAATATGTCCTCTTAATTTCGTTTTCTCTGTTGATGGCAATAATAGAAGTGGACTCTTTCAACCCATGGTACTTCATTTGGACCTCTGTAATGTACCAAAGATGCTTTGAAAGAGCTAGCATCTCTGTGAAGAAGCAAAACGTTGGATGGTGTGTTAATCTGTTCTGTAAAGCAATCATGATAGCTTGTGCTCATAAAGCTTTTATCTAAGCTCTAGTATCTGTCCATAAATGTTAATTAAACCCCACAGTACTCATGCGAGAGAAATATAATTTTTATTTTCCAAGGTCATCAACTGTCTTGAACTGCTCCCAGACATAAATCCATTTCCAAAGACTAATCACAAAGTTGGGCTTTAATGGGCTTTTTAAAATCCATATCTATGAATGACTAGTATTTTAAAGAATAAAATTTAGCCCTTCACACGTATCTCTCTGGCTTTTAGTTTTCATTTTTTGAGGCAAATGAGCAGTTTAACTTCACAGGGGTATTTTTCATTATTTTCATTTCTTTGAACTATTTTTGTTTCTTCTCCGGGTGACACAGGGGAATATGCTCAGAGTAGGTGCAGATCTCTTAGTGAGGGCTGGAGAGTTATTCAGAGTTCTGACAAATAAGAGCCCAGGGTTTGGCATTAAACGGGTTGGGTGTCAGTTTCCTGCCTTGTTACCTGTTGGTTTGACAGTGTAAGAAAGTAATGTTAATCTATTTGAGTCTTCATTTACTTTATCTATAAAAAGGTAGTAACATTTATGTCTTAGGATTGTCATAAAAAACAAATAATATGTGTATAATGTCTGGCATGTAGGATGTGTTGGACATAATTTACTAGCCTACTAAAAGCTGAATCTAGTTTTATCATAAACATGAGCAGTATTTGTGATCTGGAAATGCTTCCTCTGTTTTTAAAATGTGGCTCATTTTTTTTAAGGTCCTCCTTCACCAACTAAAACTGCCAAAATGGTGAGTATACCATGGTCCTCAAATGCTTCTTCCCACCATGTGGAGAGAGCCGCTCACGGTGGTGGCGATTGCAGACTGGAGAGGTCGGGGGGCGTTCTGCCCTGGGCTTCTACTCTAGCGAAGCGTGTGAGTTAGAAAAAGCCCGCTAGAAAGGAGGTGTGTTCTCCTGGTGAAGTATTACTGTTGGAGGAATATTAGAGGCCTGTACTACCAATAGTTCTGTCCTCTAGGTAGTAAAATGTGGACACATTAAAGTGCCTATTGATCAGTCCTTTTACTTCTTCATGTTTGTTTTAGAGGAGCAAGGGGAAGAAATAGCTAACAAGACAGAGATATCTACAAAGAGAAGATGTCGTAGTTGCACATAAGGTCGTGGGGACTGTAAATGCCCACATTAAGACAACCTTCTGATGTTTAAGACTAAATAAGACTTTCTAGAGTCACTGTAGACTCTACTCAGTTTGTTTGTTATCAAAGTGAGAGGCTTTCAGACTTGAAACAATGTTGGGCATTCTTCTAAATAACTGACTAGCCTATTTGAGGACCTGTATAGAGAATAAGATCTGAAAAGAAGGATGCACCAGATAATGCTATGAAAGAAACTGTGCCGGGTACACATGTGTAGCTACGTAAATATCCACAATTACCTGGATGTGGCTATAAAGACAATTATGTAAATATCCTAATTTAGCTCTAGTTTGCATGATTTGGAGTCTATCATCTAAAAGCTAAGAGATGGTCTTCCATATCCATAAACCATAGGCTACTAAACAAAAGACCATCAGATATGAAATGGATTAATTCTCTGTGGCCCACCAAATACGGTGCTCTGCAGATTTGCTGTTTTATGGATCAAAAGGAAAGAAACACGCAGCATTTAATAGACTGTACCAGTTAGATGCGGTGTGAACAGAAATTCTTTTTGTCTCTTCAGTTAAAGTTGTGCCATATTTTTCTCCATTTCTCTGGTCCCTCTGGTAATCATTTTTAACTCTTGCACTACCATGTCTGTTTATAAAGGATGCCAGTGCAGCCATGGTGACTGAATGCTTTGTAACTGATGAAAGTCTCTGATGCCCTCTCACTTCTTCTAGGACACAAGAGAAAAGGGAGACTGCTCCTGTCTCCCTGCCATCTGACTAGGTCTGGGTCAGGGAGGGGTCCCTCCAGCATAACACTTTGTAGCGCCTGTCCCCCCGCTGCCCCTGCATTCTAGTCACATTCGTTATTTTATCACAAACATCTATCATCTCTGTCTCCTAATAGCTCAGTATAACAACCTGTTCTCAAAACCATAGTATTTAGTTTCTTAGGCTATTTATTGGATTTCATTTTTTAAAATTTTATTAAAGAAATCATTTTGCTTGGCTGTTATTTGGGAAAAGTTCTATCTGAAAGAGATCATATGAAAATATGCTATTCTGTTTTCCCTTATCTTATTCCCTGACATGGTGCATTTTGTTCGTAATATGCTTAAATTGACTGTGGAGGTTTTCACAGTGTCATCTTTATAACCCAAATTAGAGTTAACACTTCCTGTTTTATTTTCTTAGAAAGAATATTATCTTAAACATTTTCACTGGGAATTAAATTCAGGGAGTGGGGAGATGGGGTTTATCAAGACTTGTATGGAGGTGTTCTCTCAGAGTCTCCCTCTTGCTTTACTTACAAGTGCTGCTTTGGGTTGTAGTCCTATTTTCTTCTTTTCAAAGTCAATTTGCATTTTGGTGGTGGGGAAGAGGGCAGAATTGCTTAAACATAAGCTAATTAAGGCCTTTTGGTTGAGAGCATAATAACCTTTTTCTAATTTAAGTGAACTGTGTTCTAACCCAAATACACATGCTGTGGAAGGGAATTCCTGGAAGACTGCAGATGTGCTGTGGCTTTGACCCCTCCGCCTCTACAGCTGTAATCAGTTGACATACCCAGTTCAGGCAACGGTTTTTATGTACTCATCAACCATCTGGTTTTTCGAAATACTGAGGAAGACCCTTTTCCATTTCAGAAAACAGATAAAAAGGAAAATTCGGAAAGTTTGGAGGCCGTAAATGAGCCCATCCCCCAGCCCATGCCTTTCCCACCCAGCATTATCAGATCAGGATCCCCGAAACTGGATCCTTCTGAGGTCTACCTGAAGTCTAAGACTTTATATGAAGATAAACGTAAGTAGCTGGGGAATGTTTTAGGAGAGCATGCAACAAAATCAATTTGAATTTTTTTTTAAAAACTCGGACTTTCTCATCTTTCAAAACCATGTTGGAGTTATTCCTTCATTCCCATTTTAATATGACTCTGGGCTTCTTCCATTTACACTCAACATTCATTCATTTATTTTCTTCAAAACCATGTATTAAGTGCCTGCCATCTGCCTGACATCATAGTAGGTAATGGGAATACAGGGGTAATAGGTTACATAGGCCCTGCACCCAAAAAGATGATTAAACTGAAATGGAAGCCAAATAGCTAATCAAGTAAGTGTGCAAGTAAGTACAAATAAGCCCCTGACAGGTGCAGTAATAGAAGAGTGAACTGGTTGACTTGGGATCTAAAGTAGGAAATGGTCAATTTTACCACTGTGTGTAGGAGAAAGTGCCAGATACTGCTTCGTCTGGGAAGTTAAGCTTTAACGAGGTCTTCAAAGACAGAGAGGTGTTTATGAGACAGATAAAAAGGAAAGAAAGAAAGGAGTAACATATGCACATTGACCTTGCATGGCCTGAGTTCTGCAAGTGGTTGGGTTTAGCCGGGACTGGTTGGCAAGGGAAACCAGAGGGGCGGGCAGGAGTAGCTTGTGGAGGGCGTTATGCTGATCTGAGGGAGCTGCAGACAGTGATGTACACGATGGAGAGCCACAGAGTGCTCTTAACTATGGGCATGAAATGATTGGACTTGTGTTTTAGAAAGATTTTCCTGGCAGGAGTGTGGAGGATGGTGAATCAGAGGGGTGTGCAATCTGAGGAGGAAACAAAGAGTGGGTCCCTTAGAGGAGTCCAGCTGAGAGATGATGAGAAGAGAGTGTGCATAAGGCAGAAGTTCATTTTCATAGTTATTTTCTTACTAATGACAGATGTTTTCCAAAGTCAAATTATAGATTTACATAGGTTTAATTTTTTAAATTTATTTAATTCTAGAAATAGATCTAAATTTACCTTGGAAAAATGGACATTGTATATAATTGACTTCATACTTATTTAACCAGTTGCAGATCTTTATCTTTATGTATGTATATGTGTATATATATATATTTATATGTATGTATGTTTATATATATTTATTTTCTGGTTTTCCTTAGCACCAAACACCAAAGATTTGGATGTTTTTCTTCGGAAACAGGAGTCAGGGTTTGGCTTCAGAGTGTTGGGAGGAGATGGACCTGACCAGTCTGTAAGTTTAAATATTTTGGAATTTGGCTGTTCCTGTTTAAACTTCTATGGGGAGATTTGGTAAAATATGGTAGTTTTGTTTTCTGTTCTTTTTTTTTTTTTAAGATTTTTTCTCTAACAGTTTCATTAATATGAAGAACTGCCTTTCTGTTAGTGTCATAATACCTGAGGCTAAAACTAGGTAAAAACTGAATATGGCAGCTGTAAATTGGAGAGTAACACATGTTTATGTTTGCAAAGCATTTAAATCTAGAATTTTATTTATACAGGATTCTCACTTACAGTTAGTTTAGAGAACAAATATAATGGGTTTATTTTTGTTTTGCCCTTAGTTTGAATGACAAAGAGTAATGTGCTTTTTAGAATTTAAGAACATATTTAAAGTTTTTTGCATAATATCAAGAAAGACTACGTTATTATCATGCTTGGAAGTTAGCTGAATAACAATATTCTCTTAAAATGGCATGCTTCTATTTCTGACTAGAACATTTGATCTACTTAGTCGTATTGGTTATGGTTAAAATGATCATCAGAGACAAATAAAGCTTAAGGCAGGTTGCCCTGTACAGGGCAAATGTGAAATCCCTTGATTGTTTCTTTTTCTTTCTTTTCATTATCCAAGTATAATTGACATTAGTTTCACATGCACAACATAATGACTTGATGTTTGTATACACTGCAAAATGATCATCACAATAAGTTTAGCTACCATCCATCACCATAAAAAGTTACAAATTTTTTTCTTGTGATAAGAAGTTTTAAGATTTACTCCCTTAGC